CGTTTTTTTTTTTTTTTTTTTGCCAACTACTGCGCCTCTTTTCCTTTTTTATAGGCCGTTTGGTTAACATTATTTTTGGGCCAAAACTGACAGTGCTTTTAGTTAAGTTGTTTGGTTTTAGACTATATTTTGAGAAGCTGAAAAAAAAAATAATTTATCTCAAAATAAGCTGATTTTAAAAGTTAGGTTATAAGTCGCTAGGGTTTCTATATTTTTTCCTCCCCTTTCTTTTACCTCAAACTAGTAAAACTGGACCATGCTTGGTGCAGTCATAAAAAACCTCATTGAATTTTATAAAATAATTAAGTAGTTTTTACATACGTATTAAAATAACCAACGTAGGCTTTTGCAAAAATTAATTATGAGTATATCTTTTATTTTTCAAAAATAATGTAAAGCTTTTGTTTCCTCGAACGTATTGGAAATGTTTATAGACATTAACACCTGAAAGTTCCTTTTCTTGATGTTACTAGAGTTAAATTCTTCTAACTTGCATTTCATGTTACCAGCATTTTGAACTTGGGAAGTTGGGAAGGTATGTAGTACTACTTAATTTATTGAGAATGTAATAATTTTTTGAATTGGTCCTTGAGTTGATGAGTTACAAGTTTATTAAATTGTTGCTTACTTTCTGTTTTAATGTTTAATTACTTGCTCATGTCTTACGTCTTTTAAAGAAACCCTTAGCGTTCTAGTGTAAGCATGAAAATGCAATACACTTTAGCACTCAAAACAGTAGATCGAAATTACACACAAGTTCGAGATAGAAAATGTTGAGATCTAACAAAAATTGAGCCTAGATAATATTTTCTCGTGATCTAATAAAAAATGAAACTGAGTTAGTCTATAAGTAGGATCTCTTTTGGATCAGCCATATGCTTGGCTTAATTTTTGAACATGCTAACTTTGCGTGAATTTATTTAGATTTTGGTGACTGAATTATGGATCTTGAATTTATAGGGATCAATCTCGCTCAATATTAGCATTAAAAGATGAACCGCATGTGATTTTTATCAGTCGACTCAACAGTTTAGATAATAGACTCGTCAAGCTTTGAATCTCCAAGCCTAACTCCAGGACCTGGACCAGCATGAGGTCTCAAACACACCCCACACGCAAAAAGGCAGCGTCAATGTTGATCAAAATACTTAACACTTATTTCTTGTATGATTTGCTCACTATAAAAATCATATAAGGACTGATATACATCTTTCGAAAAACTTTTTGTATTGGCTAATAAATTTGATATTAGATACAAATATCAATATATGAATTCTCCAATTTACATGTGGCAGTTAAGTTCCTCTTGCAAATTACAATGGACAGTTATGTGCTAAGGTCAACATTTATATAATAGTCAGTCATCAATTGAAAATGAATAATATAGTGATAAATTGTGATTATTTTTTATCAGTCTAATTTACTTCGCACCTTTAGTTCAATGAGAAAATAAGTCAAAGACTACATGATCAAACCTACGGTTGCTTCATCTTAGAGAAAGAATCATAGATATGTGTCATTAGATGGTTCCTCGTATATCATCTCTAATAAAAGTATGTAAGACTTCCGGCACTGCAAGATGTATAGAACATGCTTCTAAGAAAATTTGTGTGTTACACCAGTAAAAATCATTAGGAAAAAAATGAATCGGGATTAATATAGGAACAGTTAAGATATATGACAAAAATAATGTTTCCAAACTACTTGTATACGGTCAAAATCAAGCTTGCCCTTTATATGATTAATTGAGACTCGAATATGATAGATCAAGGTTAAACCTCGTATAATATCAAGCTATGATGCGAAGTTAGGATTGCCGAGCTCGTGACTCAGAAACCGACCAAGATCAAGATCGGCCAAGATCGAGATCGAGCCAAAAAATAAAAAAGCCGTTATATCCGCAATTAGGGGGAGAATCTCGGCGGAAATCCCGGCGCATATCAAGGAGAGACCAATTAATTAATCTATTATGGTATTCCTTATGTATTTTTAATTATATCCAAAATAGGACTTTCCTACTATATAAAGGGTTGTCTGATCATTTGTAGGGGAGATCCATACAATAAAAAGCAATACACTATCTTATTTAAGCTCTCAATACCTTGCTACTCTATTCATACTTTAGCAGAGTTTTCACTCGGTTGGAGAGTAATCTAACTCGAAAGCCAAAGCTAATTGATCCGTTTGGTTTGTATTTATTTATTTTACAGTTAATTTTGATATTCATTAATATATTTTCTCGATTTGTACCAAGTTATTTTACGTATCCTTAGAACCGCGTATAAATTCAATTGTTATTCATTTTTCGGGTAAACAGTTTGGTGCCCACCGTGGGGCTAAGGATAATAGTGGTTGTTTGATACAAATCTCTTAAAAACACACTTTTTTACACTTGCTCTTGGAAGTATCTTTGATTTCAGGCTAAAAATGACGAACTCTCAATTAATGCCCCTACATATCGACAACGAATCTGGCCATCAAGGTGAGAATTACAACGTAATGCCCAGGGAAGAAAGGCCACCCGCTGACCCCATTGGGACTCGGGCCGTGGACCCGATTGACGTTAATCCACATGTGGCCATCGAAGCGAACCAACATTCCGCTCCCGAAAACAGCATCTGATAAGTAGGGATTTTAACCTATTATTTGCTCTCTTTTACTTGTGTTTTAGGCCAAAAATGCTTGAAGGTATTCTCGAAAATTAATGAAATATGCTTGCTTGCAAGAATTGTTCAAAATGAGCCAAAGGAATCAAAATCAACTCACAAAGGAGTCAAAATTTGAACAAAAACCAAGGCTAGCAAAGAGTTCTGAAGTGCGGACCACACAAATATTGTGCGGCCGCGAAAGCCATGATGCGGTCGCGATCATATTATGTGGTCCGCAAGAGGGAGATTCAGAGAGTGTGATTTTGCGCTAAATGATGAGCGCGGACCGCACCAGAAATGTGCAGCCGCGAAAGTCCTTGTGCGACCGTAATTGAAATTACGCGGACCGCAATGACTGAGATTCAGAGAGCTGACAACTTGAGAAAAAGAAAGAAGTATGGACCGCACCAGAATTGTACGCAGCAGAAGTCCCTTGTGCGGCCGCGATCGAAATTATGCGGTCCGCAAGATGAAGAATCAGAGAGTTGATTTCAATCTAAACTCAAGCAAGTGCGGACCACATCACTTTTATGCGGCCGTATAATTTGGAGCGCGACCACACTTAGAATTATGCGGTCTGCGAAAGTTCAGCTCAACCCAGATCCAAAAGAGTAGAATGTGGACTGCATCAGAATTATGCGGCCGCGAAAGCAAGAGTGCGGACGCACTCAGAATTACGCGGTCGCACAACCTTCGTAGGGGCATTTTTGTCATATATTTTCAACTTAGTATAAATAGAACTTTTTGTCATTTTTAGGTTATGTTATATTTTGTATGATCACCTGAGATGGCTGACTTTTCTGTTTTTGGAAATTTTGCACTAGATTCACTTCTTAACATTAGATTTTCATTCCATAAATTAATATTATGAATTTTAGCTTCATTTCATCCTTAATTTCTATTATTTCCATGAGTAGCTAAACCCATAGCTAGGGTTGTGACCCAACCCTAGTGTGGGTATTTAATGGGTATTTGATTTTAGGGCTTGAATGTGAATGGGTTAGTGATATTTAGCCTAGTTGTTTCTAGAACTCAAGAATTAATAGTTGCAAACATATATTCATGCCTTTATGACTTAGTCTCTACTTGAGAAAGATGGACTAAGTCTAGAAAAAGTAGGCTAACAAGGAATTAGGGTGAACTCAAGAAATTGATAGCCCCAATCAAAGGGTTAAACCTAGAGATAGTAATACTCAACTTGAGCTAATAACACTTGATTTTCATGAATACCCATTTGGACTTGAAAAAGCCAAATTGGGTAAACCCACTCAAACTACTGAGAGGTATAGAGTGAGTACCCGGGTGTGATAGTTGTATTACAATCGCAACTAATCAAGCTTGCCCTAGATATTGCTACCCGTCAGATATCCACCTAGGTAGAAGTCATTACCCTAGTCTCTTTAAACATGTGAAAAACAACAATAAAATATTGTCCTTAGTTTCAATTATTGCAATCTTTAGAGTAAAGTTAGAAGTAGAAATCAAACCTAAACTTGTGGAAGTGTAATTAGATTCAAATCCCGCATCTAGCTTAGATATAAATTTAATTCCAAGCATTAACTCCCTGTGGATTCGATCCCGACCTAGTTGGGTTAAAACTACATCGACCACCATCACTACTCAATATTAGTGTAGGCTTGGACCCAATCAATTTTTGGTGCCATTGCCAAGGAGTTAAACGGATTTATCTATATATCTAGGTATTTGTGTGTTTTGTCTTTCTTTCCTTCTGAGTCAGTAATTTTGTTTGTGAATTGCTTTTAGGTACAAAATGGCCCTTAACAACGAGCC